TTCTTCCAGCAATTTTTAGTTTTGCTTGGTTCAGATCTCCAGCGTCCTCTGTTCTTTTTTTAACAAGTGTTTCCCCTGAAATCTGCCCCCCTCCCCCCCCCAGTCAGGTGAACATGTGATGTTTTTCTTTCAGAGATCAGTTTTTGGAAAGCCTGGCCTCCTGTAGAGAAGCTATGTCAATGGTCAGCCTGGCACATTCCATGTTGATCATGCCTAACTGGTCCGCATTATCGACCGACTGCAAGTCATCGCTTAATTCTGTGGACTCGGTCCTGACATTCCAGTTTGCCAACTGAGGAGTCAATAGCTTCTTTCATTGTTTGCCTGGATTGAGTGCATCCGCTGAGCAATGATTCTAATCTCAAAGTACCCACTCATGCAGGAGGACTGCGGATGGTCAGCACCTTGCTAGTCAAGGGCTGACCAACTGAAAGTGGGCAGTGACGGACCAGTGGCTCATCTCTCCCACTGTCAGGGACAGCTTCTCAACGCCATCACTGGGAACTGGTGTCTCCCGTGTTATGTTAATATTCTACCGAGCATAGGCCAGGGGAGAATTTACAGAGACTTTAGGTATCTGATAATCAGGGAACCCCCTGACCACTGCAGGGTTGAATCCACAGGAATATAAAGTGTTACTTGGCTGCAGGAGTAGTCAAAAAGACGGCCTCAGTCTCCCTTTGGCTCCACTCCAGGTCTGTTGTCAGGATTTATTACCTTGTCCTTCAGCTCTCCCAAGGTTTCGACAAGGCACCAGAGCTATTTATCTGCGGCTGGGAGTTTGGATCACAAGTGCCAAGGTCTGCCCATGCTAGTGGGCCTGCATGTCTGGGGGTCAAACCCTCTCAGAGCTTCTCCGGATCTTCAGTCTAGGTCCACGAGTCCAAAAGTTGCTCAATCTGCTCAGAGTCTTTCCCATTTAGCACAATGATAGTGCCACACAACATGATAGAGACTATCCTCAATGTGCAGACGTCAGTTCGTCTCCACAAGGACTGTGTCGTGGTCACTCACACAGATACGGTCATAGACAAGTGCATTTGCGACTAATAGATTGGGTGAGGATGAGGTCAAGTATGCTTTTCCGTCTTGTTGGTTCCTTACCACCTGCTGCTCCAATTTAGCACCTTTAGGACATGACCAGCTTAGTCAGTAGTGCTGCTGCTGAGCCACTCCTAGTGGTGGACATTGAAATCCCCCAGTCAGAGTTCATTTTGTACCCCTGCCACCCTTAGTGCTTCCTCCAAGAGTTGTTCAACATGAAGGAATACTGATTCAATCAGCCAAGGTGGGGCATGCTATGTGGTAATCAGCAGGTTTCCTCTCACATGTTTCAACTGATGCCATGATGTTCATTTCATGGTGCCAGTAATCAATGGTGAGGACTCCCAGGGCAATACCCTCCCGACTGTATACCACTGTGCCGCCACCTCTGCTGGGCCTGTCCTGTCGGTGAGACAGGATATAGCCAGGGATGGTGATGGTGATGTCTCTGACATTGTCTATAAGGTATGATTCCAGGAGTATGATTATGTCAGGCTGTTGCTCGACTAGTCCAGGAGACAGGTCTCCCAATTGTGGCACAGGCCTCTAGAAGTTAGTGAGGAGGACTGCAGGGTCGACAAGGCTGTTTCTGTCATTGTTGTTTCCAGTGCCTACGTCAATGCAAGATGGTCTGTCTAATTTCATTCCTTTTTTGTTAAGAGCTTCTGAGCAGTTTGATACAACTAAGTGGCTTGTTCAAAGGACAGTTGAGAGTCAATCACATTTTTGTGTGTCTGGAGTCACTTGTAGGCCAGACCAGGTAGTCATGGCAAATTTCCTTCCCTGAAAGGGCATTAGTTAACCAGGTAGATTTTTACAATTGTTTATGGTCATTAGACTTTTACTTCTTGATTTTTTTAAGTCAAAGAGTCACACAGAAATAAACTTTGACTTGATAGAGGTGTCCGAAATGATCAGAGGTATAGATAGAGTAGACAGCCAGAGACTTTTTCCTAGGGTGGAGGTAGCTATTACGAAGGGGCATTGTTTTAAAGTAAGTGAAGGTACATATAGGGAAGACGTCAGAGGTAGGTTCTTTACTCAGAGAGTAGTAGAGGTGTGGAATGCATTGCCGGAGAGGGTAGTGGAGTCGGCCTCATTAGGGGCATTTAAGCGGCTATTAGATAGGCATATGGATGATAGTATAAGGTAGGGGTGGAGGTTAGATAGACCTTAGGATTAGGGTAAAAGTTCGGCATAACATTGTGGGCCGAAGGGCCTGTACTGTGCTGTACTGTTCTATGTTCTATGTTCTAAACCCTTGCATCTAACTAGTCCATGCTGACCATAATCCCAAACTAAACTAGCCCCACCTGCCTGCACTTGGCCCATATCCCTCCAAACATTTCTTATTCATGAACAAAAACAAAGTTGCTGGGGAAGCTCAGCAGGTCTGGCAGCATCTGTGAAGGAGAAAACAGAGTTAACGTTTCGGGTCCGGTGACCCTTCCTCAGAACCCGACACCGGACCCGAAACATTAACCCTGTTTTCTCTTACAGAGATGCTGCCAGACCTGCTGAGCTTTTCCAGCAACTTTGTTTTTGTTCCTGATTTACAGCATACGCAGTTCTTTTGGTTTTTATTTCTTATTCATGTACTTATCCAAATGTCTTTTAAACATTGTAACTATCCCCGCATCCACCACTTCCTCAGGAAGTTCATTCGCCACACGAACCACTCTCTGCATAAAAAAATTTAGTAACATAAGTCAAATTTCTCCATCTGCCTTAATAGGATTCGAACCCATGTCTTACAGCTCTGCATGGAACTCTGGATTACTCTGGTATTGTTAATACCACCATCGCCAACGCTCCTCCATCCCACTTTAAAAAGCCTGCATAATATAAAGACCTTCATTAGGTTACCTACTTTGTTTCTATTGGTGGGGGAGGGGAAGAGAGAAGAATCCAGCTGGTGATCCGTGAACGTTGAAATGAACTATTCAGCACTTGCCACTTCTCTACGTAGGCACAAGTCACATGGAGTCACTATTCCCATTTTTGCAGAAGCATCTATACGAAAGTCAGCACCCATTGATTTCAACAAATCGTCTAAACCACAGAAAAGAAATAAGAACAGCACACACTTCCCGGCCCCCTGACAACAAGTTACCTGTTTCACAAGTTAGTACAACAAGTTCGTTGCTATCTGTACACGCGCGCGCGCACACACACACACACACACACGTGCACGCTATCTAAACCTTGTTGAATTTTTAAGTCAGAAAGTCCACACGGTTTGAGGGAATACTGTAACCAACAATGGAGTAAAAGAATGCTGCAACAAACAGACTCATAGAGTAATACAGCATGGAAACCGGCCCTTCGGACCAAACTGGTCCATGCTGACCATGCTGCCCACTCATCTAGTTCCAATTGCCTGCATTTGGTCCTTATCCCTCTAAACCCCTCCCATCCATGGACCTATCCAGATGTCTTTGAAACATTGTTATTGTCCCTGCCTCAACCATTTTCTCTGGCAGCCCGTTCCATATATGCACCACTCTCTGCGTGAAGAAGTTGCTCCTTCTTAAATCTCTCCCCTCTCACCTTAAACCTATGCCCTCTAGTTTTCAATTCCCCATCCCTGGGAAAAAAGACTGCTGGAGAGAGAAAAACCGTGAGCCTTATCAAAGATCAATACGATAGTTTTTAACATCAGTGTCACATTTGCACTCATTTCCCCACGTAGATGTTTATGTTTCAGTGACCCATTCGTCGGGTGAATAATTAACATTTTGGTTTTGATTCATCTAGGAGAAATCAATGAGGAAAGCAACCTTCCAATGAATGGTCAACAAGATTTACTTGTCTCACAAACCACAATACGTACAAAAAAAAAACAAGCATTCAGACAGTGTGCAGAAAAACAGCAAGATCCTGTTGACAGCCTCAGCGCACACCGCAATAATTTCAGATAGCAATTGGGCAGCAAGCCACGCCACACAGCCTGGTAGGCATAGAATGCCCAACCCATTTTGTCTCAGAAATCTGAATAAAATCATGAAACGAATGTCACTTCAAAAGTGAATCGTAAATGTTGGTAAACGGCTGCCCCTCTTTCATGTTGGCTTGTTTTCAGCAGCAATTAACTATATTGTGCAAGTACCCAGCTCCAGACTGGTTTCAGGATGAGGCACGCAACAATCCTTGCAGACGGAAAGTTGATCAACAACATTTAACACTTTTTTTTAAAAAAAAGCACTACACGAGAGTCAGAGCCAAAAATTAATCCACTAATAGAAGCAGCCAACTTGCTACAAATGCTCCCACAATTCAACTCCTCAGTCTGCTTTTCACATTATCAAACCTCAACCCTTTCTAAAGTTTGTGCAACAATTTTCAGAGTAGTTTAAAGAAAATACCATTATTCTCTCTTCCCAAGTCCAGAAATTCAGAGACAATTTTCACAAACGGCAAAAGCCTTCTCCAAAACAGCTGCGCAATAGGATTCCAAGCATTCCCAGGAACCAAAGGGAGATTGTGTGGGTTACAAGCTGCTCAAGCGTGAATTTCCACTGAACTGAAGTTTGAAAGACAAGTTTGTATCCTTTATAAAAGTAAAAGGGTTAGGCTTTCAAGGAGTGTTCATTAAGAAGAATGTCAGTTGCAGATAATCCAATATATTATGATATTACTACTTTAATATCAGAACACACAAGAATAAACGTTTACTTCAAAATTAACTGAATTTTTAATACGTTTTATTGCAATTCTCAATGTTGAAAGTGGCATTAAACTCAATTTCATCAACACACTATGGGCTGGATTTTACAGCCACCTCAATCTCCGTTTCCCAGTCCTGAAGCAGCAGATGGGAAGCATCTCACAATCTCAAGCTCTACAGCAATTTAATACCGAGAGCAGCATCAATTGATTTAAGGCAAGAATTTCATTCCTTGTTTGGGAGCAAATCCAAGCTTGGAGAGTTGTAGTGGCTACTGCTAGTCTGTCAGCCCTTGCTGAGGGGCCCAGAAAACTCCAGAATAAAGGGTTCAAAAGACCACAGGAAAGAAAGTTTAAGGATGGGAATGATTTTGGGATGAGTACCAATGATGGGGCCCAGGTGGTGTCCAATTACTCATTTTGATACAGGTGTACGTCCCTCAAAATGATCTGTCTTGCTTCAGTCTCCATTTCTCTTTTGCTTCCACATGCTTTCGTTTTTCTTTCCAGCTGGGAAGTGGTGTTGTGGTCCAGACTAATATGAACACGAAAGGAACCACCACAAGATGCTTTTAGATTGAGGTGTTGGAAAATTGGGGCATATTCTGTAACTCGCACTCACTTCCTGCTGTTTTTTATTCATCGGATATGCATGGCTCTGGCTAGGCCAGGATCCAATGCCCATCCCTAAATGCCCTGAAGCTGCTTTCTTGAATCACTGTAGTCATTGGAGTGTCGGTACACACAAACTGCTGTGAGGGTCCTGTCCTAGGGACCCTCACAGCAACATGAAGGAATGGCAATATAGCTCCAACTCAGGATGGTTAGTGACTTGGGGAAGGTGGGGAAATTTGTTGTTGGTCTTCCCTCCACTCTCCAATCTCCTCTATCAATTTCCTCCCTTCATATCCAGTAGCCCATTACCCCCAAAGCATACTTACCTGTTTTTTCCAGTTTCTTTTTAAAACATGGAAAGAAAAGTGTTTGGCAAGTTAAAACATTTGACAATTGCACAATAAATGGAAATCAAGTAGATCAGGCAGGAAGTTCACACTAATGCTAGATTTTTAGCAGAGATATTAACGTAACATCAAAAGATACATACAATTACATAATCAGATACCAATATTATCCCAACCTTTAAATCTTGTAGCATGCACTTCCTGCAGGTAATTTCTACAAACGTTGTGCTTGCCTATTTGCAATTTAACAAAAAAAAACTCATTACTAACTGAAGTAATGACTGTAACACAAGACACTATCTTAAATCTGTATTAAAAGCTTTCATATCTAAACCAGAGTCAAGTGTCAGAAAATAACATTTTTTTCTCTTCTAGCTGTCAAAGCGACTGTCAGGTTAAATTAAACATTTTCAAGTTCAGTAATTGCATTTAGAGTAGGAAAGGTGGGAAGAAGTTATTGTCAGAACCATGTTACGTCAGAAACTTATGTTTCTGGAAAAGGTCAATTCCACTGAATTGGAATCTTCCCTGTCAGTTTGAGCTCAGGCAGCGCTATTGTGTTCAAGTCATAAAGTTGCAGGTTCAAGTCCCATTCCAGGCCAAAATAATCACCGTTAACATTCCATGCAGGACCGAGGGAAGGCTACATTCTTTGGGCTTTCAATTGTCACCACAATTAAAAAGCTGGACCATGGATCTATTTCTTCCTTCATTTACTAACTGATGCCAGACATTCTTTGCCTGAAACAAGGCTAAGTAAACAACCTCTATTTTCAACACTTCAAATTCCTCAGCCAGAACAAAACATGGATTGACCTTCATCAAATATCTGAAAAAATAAGTACATGTCATGCCAAGCCAAAAATTCCAAAAGCATTCAATATTACAAATTTTTACTATGCTTACACACAGAGTCCTGCATGTAATACAAATCATTGGCATCAGTTTGGTTGACATTCCTCTTGTAGTGACAAGGGCAAAAGTGAAAAACTTAAACTGCCACCTGTTACTAATTAAACAGGTTCATCACTTCACAAAATTGCCACTACTTTAGTTATGGACCCACAAACCTCAGGAGGAAAGATTTTTCTACTTGCAATTAAGACCAGAACCAAGGGCCGCAAATAAAATAGTCACTAATAAATCCAGCAAAGAACTAAGAAGTTTCTCTCGCCAAACAATGTGGATTATACAGCAGAAAGGAGTAATTGAGACAAACAGTGTAGGCTGTTTGGAAAACTTTGAGATCAACGCACTGGCAGCATTGGGGAATGTGTACATTGGAAAAATATAATATGGTGAAAGAAGTTCCATGCAGGGCACAAACCCTGCAACGACCTGTTGGGTAAAATGGCTATTGCTGTATTGTAAATAATTTGTAATCATGTACAGTCATTTCACAACCACAAGACATTTCAAATGAGCTTTACAGCCAATGAAATACTGAACTACTGAAGCAGCCAATTTGAAAAAGGTACCACAAACAGCAACTAAATAAGTGGTTGGGTAATATGCTTTGGTTGAGGGAATAATTACCACTTGGCATATCAGAGAGAGCTTCCAGGGTATGTTGTGAACCTTTTATATCTACCTAAAGGAGGCAAACACCAGACCTCACAGCAATCTTCGGGTCATATTTGATCTAGATCTCATTTGATTTGATTTTGATTTATTGAAACATATACCAAAATACAATGAAAAGCTTTGTTTATGAACAGTACATGCAGATCACAGCAAGCAAGGGATGTACAGATCAAAAAGACTTAGGGACATACAGGTTACATTGCAGGTTACATTATTTGAAACTAGAGTCCATTCAACAGTCTGATAGAGGCCAGAAAGAAGCTGGTCCTGAACCTTCTTGTGCATGTGTTCAGGCTGTTGTGTCTTCTGCCTAATGGAAGAGGCTGTAGGAGATCATTACTGGGGTGCGATGGTATTTGGTGATGTTGGCCGCCTTTCCGCAGCAGCAAGCCATGTAAATGGAGTCCATGGATGGAAGGTTGGATTCCGTGATGGTCTGGGCTGTGCACACCACCTTCTGTAGTTTCTTACCGTCCTGGGAAGAGCAGTTGCTATACCAGGCCGTTATGCACCCGGACAGTACGCTTTCAATGGTGCATCTGTATAAGTTGGTGAGGGACCTTATGGACATGCCAAATTTCCTGAGCCGCCTGAGCAGGAAGAAGCGTTGTTGTGCCTTCTTGACCATCGCATCTACATGGGAAGTCCAGGACAGGTCATCGGTTATCGTCACTCCGAGGAACTTGATGACCTTCACTCTCTCAACCTCAGTTCTGTTGATGTAGATGGGGGCGTGTTCTCCTCCTTTCATTCTGAAGTCAATGACTGGGTTTCCAACCACATTTTCACACCATCACTAAGAATGAATAACATCACATGACTCTTGCCTGTAGAGCTGGCCGACAGCTTCAAAGGATTTGTTCCCGAGGTGTGCAATAACAACATCTCCGAACAAGGTGACTAGAAAATATAAAAACCGAATGAACTGCAGATGCTGTAAATCAGGAACAAAAACAGAAGTTGCTGGAAAAGCTCAGCAGGTCTGGCAGCATCTGTGAAGAAAAAATCAGAGTTAACGTTTCGGATCCAGTGACTGAGGAAGAGTCGCTCCCCACTGACCCTTGCAAGAAAAGGATAGCTATTTGTAGTCAAATAGCATGGTTTCTGGGGTTCAACATGGCAAAAGACTTGGGACCAGCTATCCTTGAACTTCTACTGGGGTCACACCTGTTGTTGCTAACCCACAGGAGTATCATATAACAGCAGAGAACAGAAGGAAAGCAGCCATTGAGTCAAACAGCATGGAAATAGACCCTTCGATCCAACCAGTCCACACCGTCCTTGTTTCCAAACTAAACTAGTCCCACCTGCCTGCATTTGGCCCATATCCCTCAAACCTCTCCTGTTCACATACTTATCTTCTAAACGTTGTAACTGTACCAGCATCCACCACTTCCTCCAGCAGTTCATTCCACACACGAACCACACTGTGTGTGAAAAAGTTGCCCCCATGTCCTTTTTAAAACTTTCTCCTCTCACCTTAAAAATATGTCCTTAGGTTTGAAGTCCCCACCCTATGGAAAAGACCTGCTGGTAACTCGTTCTAACATCTCCTTATTGGCTCAGTGTCCCAATTTTGTTTGAAAAACTACAATGAAGTGTCTTGGGTGCTTACACTACTTTAAAATAAAATTTAAGTTTATGTTGTTGACAAAAAGGACATCAATGCAAGGTTAGGCTACAAACTACTGCAATAACAAGTCACAAAGATATATACTTTTGTCATTTTGTTGTGAGTGATTGATTGTCTCTCAGATGTATTTTTCACTGCAGCCTATTATGCAGAATGCTAAATGGAATTTGCCAGGCTGGTGAAATGTGCATTGATGTTATCAGTTTGAAAACCAATTAACTAAAAATCCGAAAGCTCCAGCCATGGAATAAAAAGTCACTTTAGTTTCACAAGGATCTATAACAGCAATATTCCTTAAGTAGGTCTCACTGTGTAATCCAACAGAAAGAGAAAATCACTGGAGAAACTCAGCAGGTCTAGCAGCATCTGTGGAAAGACAGCAGAGTTAACATTTCAAGTCCGGTGACATTTCAACTCTTCATCAGAACGGCCAGCAGCCAGGACAAAGTGGTATTTAAGGTGAAGACTGGTGTGTGCATGCGTGTGGGGAGCAGGTTGTCTCTGCACCTATTTCTTCCGGCAAGATTCCTCTCCCCGTCCTACACACTCCGTCACCCACCTCCAACACTATCCTTCCACCCGAACCCACCCCCCAGGCCTTTTACCTGCACTCAAGCAGCTC